CTTTTTTAATTAAATTTGAAACAAAAGAAAACTACGATACCGTATTTCTAAATACCGGGTATTTTCATTAAAATATTACGTCACAAGTATATTTTACCTTACCTGTGACTGAATGAATATATTCTCAGAAATAAATATGGAAATGTAATATTTTTGCTGAAATGACGTACGTATTACAGTGGAAAGTGGGATAAAATCATGACGAAAACAATGAATTTCGCTTTCTTTCGGTGTTCAAAAGATTTTACCGTGATCGCTTTTCGAATGGTTTTCAGTTAAAAAACTGTTGTATTACAATAATATTCTATCCTAATTCACTTGAATAAATGCTACGATACCATATTTCTGAATATTTTCATGAAAATCCATCAAAATAATTTTCCTTGTCATCATCTTCAGCACACAGTTGCCAGTTTCAAGATTTTCCGTTTAAAATTTTAAGTTACTGAGTATTTGTTTTCCCAAATCGTTTTACAATACTGTAGGTAAAACAGTTTACTATTGAGCAAGCCCCACAGAATAAAAAATTAACAAATGGAGACACCAAAAATGTATAAGAAAAATGCTGTGTCTGACTTGCAACACTGTTGGTAGGGTCAAGTGGTTCTAAAGGCATCCTGCCAGTACCTGGTAATCAAATTTATAACAGTGTCTAACCTCAATTACTGTAGTTTATCTGATGTAGGCAATATGAAGTAGAAAATACCAGTTAAAGTGAGAAATTGGAAGAGAATAAACAAGAAAGATGTCATTGGGCTATTTTTGGAGAGAGTACCAGCTGTTTGGTCTTTTTTGACGGGAGAGTCACGCAAATATCCGTACTGGTATTTGTTTGGTGTCTTCTGTATTTTTAAAAATTAATACTTGTAAATTAAAAGCACTGAACATTGTATTATATACAAACTTGTCATATTTCTGGAAAATAAGAAGCAAGAAAATAAGAATATACCGGTAAACACAATTTCAACGTACGCTAAAATTAAAGGCTGCTTAAGAAGGGCCGATGCAAAAACAAAGCCTCCGCGACCAAGGCTCTGCCGTATCAGCTAGACGGTACACGTGTTTTTTAATCGTTTTCAGTTAAAAAACTGTTGCATCACAAGTGAATTAGGATAGAATATTATTGCAATACAACAGTTTTTTAACTGAAAACCATTTGAAAAGCGATTACGGTAACATCTTTTGAACGAAAGCAAGCGAAAGTCATTGCTTTCGTCACGATTTTATCCCACTTTCCACTGTAATACGTACGTCATTTCAGCAAAAATATTACATTTCCATATTCTCAGAAATAAATAGTAGTTTTGCCGAAACGTAATGTATTTCAATGTAAATTAGGATAAACTACATGAAAACAAAAGACTTTACCTAACCTTCCGATGTTCAAGATATGTTACTCATTTTTTTAATAGTTTTCGGTTAAAATACTGTTATATTAGTGATATTCTATTCATACTGTGCTTGATATAAAACATTCACGGAAAGTGGAGTTATTACAGAAGCTTGATCGTGGTGTGCCTGTGTGGCATCTTACTAAAGAATATGGTGTGGGAACTACCACCGTATATGACTTAAAGAAACAGAAAGACAAGTTGTTGAAATCTTACACTGACAGTGATGACCATAAACTAATGAAAAATAGGAAAACATTACATAAGGCAAAAAATTAAGATCTTGACCGTGTGCTGATTGAGTGGATTCGAGAAAGAAGAAGTGAATGTATGCCACTGTCTGGTTTGTTGGTCATGAAACAAGCTAGAATATACCATGAAGAATTGAACATTGAAGGTGAGTGTGAATATTCAGAAGATTCGCTGCAGAAATATTAATGTGTTTGCTTATGGGGTGCTGCCACAGACCCAGCTAGGGTGTTCCCATAATATACGGTATATGTAATGAACTGTACACCATTCTGAAATCCTAAAAATTACAAAATCCAAAACACATCTGGCCCCAAGGGTTTCGGATAAGGTATTGTGAACCTGTATATTGTTGATCACCACTCTCTTATAACCAGTACTATTCCTTATTACTTTTAACTCCCATTTATAATCACTTCTTTTGTAATACACAGTAATTAAGGTTAATTTCTTGTTACTCTACATCTACTTTAAAGAATCACTTGTAACCAACCAAATTACTTATTAACTACAAATTACATTTTACAATCACTTTTATAAGAATATAACAATAAGTTAACTTCCTAATCGATTCTTTAATCAATGAACACAATCACTTTCCAAAGCACAGTCTCAAATCAAGAGACCACACCACAAACACTACAGCAGCTGAAACAAAACAGAAATACTAAGACAACACGAATAACACACTACAAGCTGTCTAACTTACTGTGTCAGTTGCTGAACGAGCACCAACTGACTGAATCAACCCACTTCCTGCAGGGAGGAAATCTCTCTTTAATGATCAAGGTCACCAGTTACAACACACCACCAGGTATGTTAAAGGACTATTACATTACGGCCTTGGTGAAAGTGGTGTGTGTGTGTGTGTGTGTGTGTGCACATGTGTTAGTGTGTGTGCGTCCAGGTGTTAAGTGTGAAATGTGTGGGGGGAAGGGTTGATGGGGGTAAAAGGGTTTTGGGGTTGGATGGGTGTGTGAAAGGTTGGGTGAGTGGGTGGGTATGTGTTGCTCAAGTGGAGGAGGTTAATGCAGCTATGCTGCTTTGAAAACAACAACCCTCTCCTTCCTGGGTGTTCAATATTTTATCTTTCATTTCTTCTTCCTTCTCTCCTTCCATGAATAGTTTTCTTCCCCTTCCTTTTCTTTACCACCCTCTCACTTCTTTCATCCTTTCTCCTCTTTCCAATCCTCATAACTTCTTTTTTCCTTTCTTTCTTCCTTCCTTCCTTTCTACAGTATTAATTTGCCCTTCTCTTCTTCCCTTTAATTTCCCTTCTTTTTGCTCGCTTTTCTATTGATATTCACTCCTCTTCCTCAAGTTCCATCTTCCTATTCATCATCATCATCATCAATGTTTTACAGTCATTTTCCACGCTTACATGGGTCAGTTGCAATTACCTGATGGCAGCTCTCCATGCTGCACAGTCTCTTTTCCAAGTTCTTATTTTTAATGTTATTTCTTACAACCTCTCCCTGTGTCATTCTTGGCCTATTTCTGGCTCTCTTCCCCTCCACACTTAAACTCGTGTATCTCTTGACCCAGTTGGTCTCATCCTTTCTCTACATACCTAGATGCCCTCTTAGCTCTGAACAGTTTCCTGTCTTTCAGTGTTACATTACACACCCACCTTGCCATTCTCATTTTAGCTCACTCAAGCCTGATTACATCATCCACATTAACTGCCATACAACATCACATTTCTCATGCCAGTTACATATACATTTGTCCTTTCATACGGAGGGAAGGTCCTCTGCTAAGAATAAAGGCAGCAACTCCCTGAACTTCTTCCAGCCACTTCAGAATCTTGCAACTAAGATGGCTTCAGCAACTCCTCCAACAATGATCATGTCACCAATGTAACAGTACCCAATGACAGTCCAGGGACATATCCCCAATGTTAAGTTTCTCCAGCCTTGGTAAGGCCACATGGTTAACTGCACATACAGAACACTTAAAAGTCAGCAATATCGTGCAGTCTGTCACCCATGCCACTGGACCTCTTGTAAACCTACTTTCCACACTCACTGCACATTACTGAATTACTGCCAATATCCTTCTTAAAGACAGCACAAGGCCATTTTCTACCATTGGTCCCTCCCCCATGTCACAAATCAATACATAGTATATATAGGATGTAAATTTGTCAATATTCCTGGTGTTACTGGTAGTGCAGCTGAGGCCCTGATAAAAACATTTTGCTACCCTCACAGCCACCTTGACCAATCAGCTGCTGTGAGGGTGGCAAGATGAGTACAGACTATCAGCAGAAATTCATTTCACAAGAAACCTGTTCATTAAAGTGTTAACAATATCTAAGATTTTGATGGTTAAACTACATCTACAGTACAGTACTAGACTAGACTAGAGAAAGGTAGACCATATATTTAACAGTAAAGTACAATTTTTTGTTGAGAAAATACACTATAGTGTACTGTATAAAACATAAAATATAACTACACCTACAGTACTACAAATAAAAAGCACCCATGGATATTACTGGATAAACAGATGTAAGGTGCTCTTTCCATCCACACACAAACACTATTTTCTGTTATTTCTTGTGTAGTATTTGTAATTTAACCTTGAACTATTCTGCTCCAGTACAGGGTATTGCACTGAGAAATGAAAGTGTTATCATCTCACCTCCTTGAACTATTCCACTCCAGTACAGGGTGTTGCATTGAGAAATGGACGTGTATCACCTTTACCAAGCAAATTCTTGAAGAATAAAGTACTGAACTGATGAATATGTACATGGAGTGAAGGCCATAAGCTTTATCCTCACAATAAAAAATATTATACAGTACAGTATTTCCTTCATAACACAGATACACTGTACACATCAAAGGATATTGATATCAATCCATCATAAATTCAACTTGATACACCATACCACATTATATATTCCAGCAATAAGAATGAATGGATGTCTAAAAGGTAAAAGAGTCTGTGTTTTCTGTTGATTCCATTCACCTTATCCTCTTAATAGCACATGGCTTACCAGAAATATGGAAAAGCGTAACAACAAAGGCAAATACTTGTACTGTACAGTACAGTATTACCCTCAGTGCACACACTGACATTTAACCCCAAAATCAATACCCGGTAGTCTTAAATTTATTACTATGAGAAAAATCTCTAAGTAAAATAATAGTCTTAATGCTACTCCTAAGAGTAATTCCTTGGTAAAGTTTAGTGAATGTAAGCCATGCAAAACAGCAGTCATTAGGTAGCAACTAAAATGTTAATGAACAAATGATGCCATGCCATTTTATGCTTCCCAGAGGGTACGTAGTAAGCTTAATTTATTTTCAAAACTGACTTGATAAGCCAGGTTATGATCTCCCTGTCATCACACAAATTAGAATTAACAGAAAATATACATACAGTATACAGTATTAAAAAGTCAATACTGTACTGTACAAGCTAGACAAAACAGTAACCAAATTACAGTTATACTGCAATAAAATTGAGCAATCAACATAATGCTGTAACTGTGTATGCAAGAATCATCTCTGCTGCAAGATTTAAGCTGTTTCTTGTTGTAAATGTATTCTATATTTGTATTCTTCTTCTCTAAACATTTCTTTTTATGGAGGTTTCTATTTCCCTTCACCCACCCCAGGCTTGTGGTAGAAGAAGAAGGGTTATACAATAGACAGATAACCTGAATTAATTTTCATGCTGACCATGTGACTGTTACCCTTGGCATTATTTAAAGAAAAAATAATAATACTGCCCCCGGTACTGTACTACACATATTCTTCCTCATATCCTTAAATTACATAACAAATATACAAAGTGAATCATTTAATTTACATTGTTCATAATGTCTCATAGCAACTCACTGTGGACGTATAAGTGAGTTGACAGGATATAGTTCAGTATACTTGAACTCTTAAAATAAATATCAAAACACATTACAACAGTTCCTTGAGTGATCACAATTGCAATGTTGAAATTTTAAACCATCCCAAAATATTAATTTTGACCTACCCAGTAATTTCAGACTTGATTTCCACCAACTGTACTGTATTGGCCTTGTAGTTTAAGAGCTAGTCAGGTGTACAGTAATGAGATATATTGTACTGTCTGTAGTATAAGGGCAGCCCACCCCCACTGCCAATTTACCTACTAGAACAGTCTTGCAATAAGTCACCAAACACTCATATGCAAGCTCATCTTTGATCTTGCATATGATTTTTAATACAAAACACCTTACTATGCTTTCAATGCAATACTTATGTTCACTGATGGACAGATCTTTATATATCAAGCCTAAAGTTGTATTTTCATAATACTATCCTGTAGCTCACTTTGTCACACAAAAAAGCATAAATGGTCTTGGAAATTTCTTGGTAAGATATGATTTACTTTTGAAAAAATAAATTGGTACTTACATAAGAGGAGATGTTATTCAAAATACATTTGTCAATGTTTTTCTATTTACTGAAATAAACTTACTGAACTTACTTGCATGTTTTCATAACTTCTATCCAAAAACTTTTTAAGGAGGGCACTATGCCATTGGTACAGTCACAGTACTGAAACAACACAACTTATTTTTAGAGACAAACAAGGAAACAAATGAAATCATCCTTCATTCAACTTGGTCAATAAACAAAAGAATCTTCTGATCCCGAGTCTGTAGTGTTTTCAAATGATGTTTGTACATGATCATTTACAATCACATACAGCTCTGTACTGTGCCTACTTTTATAGAATAAATTAAAAATTAATTCCTGAATTACATTAAATATCATAGGTCTAAACCACACACAAAATCAACTTTTCATAAAAACTTTCATGCCATCATTTCCAATAAACACTAGTCCATAATCCAGAGAGAAAAACAACTTTAACATCAAATATTGCCTCACAACATTAAAACAAGTCTGAAGATGACACATCACCCCAGCCATGCACAGTACTGTACTGTACGGGGAAGGGACACTCACCAGAACACAACCATCCTGTCACATGCACATCACACACCATACGGGTAAAATTGCAGTTTCGGCCAATATGTACTAGTAGTTAAGAAATTAGTTTATCCTGTGTATTTTGGTGCGATTCAATCGAATTTGACCTTTATTTCCGGGGGAAGTACCCGTTATAGTGTTATCCCCTAAAAGTATGAAAAAACTTTAAAATTAATTTCTCACATTATTAATCTTTGCCCCCTGGTTAAAATGGGGTCAGAAATACTCCAAATAAGGATATCTAAAGGTTGGGGTTGGTTAAAACAGTCGGCTGTGTATTGGCCGAAACTGCAATAATACTTGTACACAGACAGGTATGAGACATAATTACAGGGACCAACAAACCCTCATAGCTGTACTGTATCCATCTGCTAAGAGCATAAAGAGGTGTTCCATGGACAATACTGAACCCAGCACCCAAGTTTCATTACAACTGGTGCATCTGTTTTACCATTTTTTTAAGTTTAGTTATATACTCTCTACAAAACCATAAATTGACAAACTGAAACCTGCAATCCCCATCACCCCCCCCCCCCTAAAAAACACATCATCAGCCAGTACAATTAAATTCCTGAATGAAATAAGCCTTCCCTGCCCAGTGAGTGCCTGGAAACTTCCTGACTTCATCTTTCCTGCCAGCAGATTAACTGCTCCAGCTTATTTCACCTTAAGATTAACCATAGTAATGCTAACCCATAGTATTAAGAAGATAAGTTAGTTAAACTTCAGGTGCAATAAGAAGGGGGTAAGACCCCAGGCAATAAAAAAATATCACCAACTTAACTTTAAATCCATATTAAGCAACAGTGACTCCATACCCAAGGCCTGGTGGGGATCACAAAATGAAAACATTAATAAAAAACAAACTCAACCAA